ATCATGTGACAAAATTGACATGATCTTAAAATAATTTTTGGTTATCATTGTGTGCCATTTTTTCATCCAAAGTCTTCTTTACCGTCTTTTCATGACAGTTTCTTTCCACTTCTAACATTAGCAAAAGAAAAAGTGTTCCTAAACTTTTCCTGCGGACAGCATCCATTTTTCACAATTTTTTTTTGAAGAGCAGCGCACAAATTATCGTCCGTTCCATCCGCTAAGCTAGCTTTGCACCTTGTAGGGCAGCAAGCAGCGAATCATACATGCTATTCAACACGAAAAATGGCATCGTGGGAAACGGGCTTAACACGGTCAGTAGCATTGCCAGCATAGCTGCCCACACGGTAGCAAGCATGCAAATCCAGTTAGCAATCCAGCAGATAAAATAGCATCGTGTGCCGCTGGCTTTGGAGTTTAATATATCAGCTTATCATTTCATTAAAATGATATTCATTTTAAGAGTTTTATTAAAAATTGAAACTAAAATCACAATAAGCATAAAAGCTTCAAAAATTAATTATGCTTATCTATGTTTTATTTAACAGACAAGCATTTGAGAATATTTATCGTATGATTCGACCTGGTGGGAATATACTTATAAATTTGATAGCATCCCATGATACATATGATGTTATGAATATTTTGGCTCAAGATATTCGTTTTGCACCATACATACAAGTAAGCTTCATTATTTTCATGTTCCATCAAATCCGCATTTTTACAGCAATTAGCGTTTAATTATTATACTCTTATTTTTATACAGGATATCAGAAATTATGTTTCACCATTTAATGATTCAAGCTGTCCTCGTAAAGAATTGAGGAAAATACTTGAAAGTATCGGATTTAAGGTTTGCCATTGCAGTCTTCGAGAAATGACATATTCCTTTAAAGATTCAAGCAATCTTATATGTAAGTTATTTTTTAAAAATGTAAAACTTAAGTTTTATGCTTTATGTGATTACTATCACATTATAAGTTTGCTGCAACATTCTTTTCTTATTTATTTAAATCTTAATTTAATTCTAATAATTTAATTTAATCTTAATGAATTATTTTAATAGCTTCGATATTATCCATCTACCCATTTTTTGACAAAATGCCACATGATCTACAAGAAGAATTCAAAAACGAATATACACGTAAGTTTGTGGAAAGAAAAATTACTTATAAAACAATACAGAATAATCAAGAACAAATACTTATGTTAGATCTACACAAACTCTTAATAGTTCATGCACAAAAAGATGTATAATAGCATTATCATATATATATTTATATTTAATCGTTTATATATATCGTAAATCCTACACCTTAAGTCAACAAATAAAATTAAGCTTAAGAAATACGAAGTAAAGAATAGAGCGGAAGATTAAAATTAAATACATCTATTAAGAATTCGAAAATAAGAGCAGTCAAGGAGTTCCGTATTATCTTGTAAATTAATACCGTTTTTTTGCTGTTGGATTTACTTCATACACCAATGGATTATTCGAACGATTGGTATGTTTTTAAGTTGGCTTCACTTTTGTTTTTGTAATGACATCAGATTGTTATGAAGGTGAAACAGACCTGTATGCAGTGAGTCTGGCATTTTGATGGCTTTAATTTCTAATCTAATGTAATAATGTTATAAAATATCGAATAATAAATGTGAAATAAATTATGAATTACCGACAGCTGTTATTCTTATGATGATAAATATAAATGATTTTTTTATTAAACATTATTTTTTAATATATTACTATCGAGAAGGATTCAAAGGGAATCGAAATGATTAGTGCATTACAATTTTTATTCCACATAATAAATATCATTTCTTTACGTACCATTTACTGCACTCAACAGAGCCGTTTCAAGCCGGGGTGCAACGGGTAAAGTACACCCGGATGGCCGTCGATGTGTCTTTAAAAATAATCGTACAACCGAAACAAAAACAAAAAAAAATTGGAAAAATTTCGAACAATAAAAATAACCAAAATTAAAAAAGATCGCAGCATGACTAATGACTTATATGATAGAAGTACGCCGGATTGTGCCAATTCCATTAATGCTGATCAAACCAAAACTAATCCTACCAATCCTGATTAATGCCAAACAAACCATCACCCCACAAAATCCGACGTAAATTAATCTAAACAAACCCCACAATACTCAACCTAACAATCTTCATCAAACTCAACGAAAAATTAAAGGCTATAGTACAAGCCAAGCTAGGCGAAAATTTCAAAGTTACTGAGTCACCGCGGATGAAATCTAAGATAAAAATATTGGCGAAGAAGAAATTAAGTTGAATGATGATGATTTAATAATTACAATCAAAAAGCAGAACAAAATTAACGCGAAGAATGAATGAGTTCATATGCGAATAGTGAAGAACATAGTTAAAAGTCAATCAAGAGATAAAGAAGAAGGTTCTGTAATAATTGAAGCAGATGAAAACACTCATGAAATAATGTTGAGCGAAAGGAAAAATTGAATGTAGGAGGAAGTGTCTAATATTTAATCACATTAATATTAAAAGATGTTTTAAATGCTGGGGTTATTAACATATTGCAAAGAATTGTACACGAAATGAAATGCCACAAATGTGCAGGAAATCACAAAGCGATTGAATGCACGGCGACAAAGAAAAGATGTGTACATTGTGTGTTTAAGATTCAAACATATAACTTGAAAATAAGTGATGTGCATGACGCTCTTGATCCGGAATGTCCGATATTTAAGAGGGCGATACAGGAGGAAAAGAGGAGAGCCGGCTGGGAGTATACTAAATAAGTATTACAGAAGGAAGAGGATACAGCATCAGATATGAAGATAATGAATCATGCATAGCACTGTCGCAGACTGAATTGACTGCTGGGGTTGAAGATTTGTACTGCAAATAGCTGAGAAAGCTAGTAAAGATCGGACAAATCAATCCCTCTCTATCTCTCTATCTTTGATTGTGCAACGCTGTTAGTTAGAAAAGGATTGCAATATATTTTCGTAGAAAATAAACTACGAGTGTACGAAAAGAGTATATTTTACGAAGGAGTAAAAGTGTATAATGCCTTACCAGCTGAGATAAAACAATGTAAAAAAATTGAGCTGTTTAAGCAATTGTTAAAGGAGTATAATGTAAACTAGATCGGGATTACAAATAACTGTGTGTGTGTGTGTGTGTGTGTGTGTGTGTGTGTGAAAAAGCTAATAAAGATCAATCTCTCTCTCCCTCTCCCACCC